TGCTTGCCGTAGTCATTTGACCATTGACCACGCGTCCCTTTCGAGACGGAGCACCGTTCCTACACCTACTAGAGACACCACCAACATTTGGGAGCTCTTTACGTTTCTGCCACAAACTCCATAAAAATTTCTTGCACATCTTATCCCCGTCCTCTAGGGCCTCTTGTGCCCACCATCTATCCCCAATTATCGCGATCGTTTTTTCGCTGTTGTCTAATTTACCAAACTTGTCCATGTCACACCCTCTCTGTCTCATTTCCTCCTCGAGATCCTCTCTTTCCTTCCTGTACAACTCACACTCCCCAACTATGTGGGGTCTACTCTCCTCCGATTTGCCACATGGACATGTGTGTCTATCCTCCTCTTCCTCTCTCCTACGGCTGGTATACCTCTTCCTCCGTTCTGGCAAGTCCAGATCGCCTACTCGAAATTGCAATTTCAGCTTTTTCGCATAGTCCATGGGGCCGTCCAAGTACTTCTTCATCCCTATCCCTTCTTTCAACTTCCCGTATATCTCCAAGTGGTCTTCGCTTCGTACCTTCTTCCGAAGGGTTGTCTCCTCCCTACTCTCTAGCATATCCTTGACTTTCGTCTTGAACCCCCCGAACCCTTCCGTGTCCAACGTCTCCTCCTCGTCTCCTATCTCCTTCCAAACCTTCTCTACCACCTTGTCCCATCTGATTCCCTTCTTCCCTGGAGTCGCTTTTCCCCAAGCTGCCTCGTCAACCATGGCTGGTAGTCTATCGTCCGACATTCTACTTACCTTGTACTGCCACTTCAACTTCTGCATGTCTCTCTTTGTTTTAAGAGAGTACATTCCCAATTCTGCTCTCAATACAGTGTTGCTCGTTGTACTTGAACATCCTAGTATTTTCTTGGCCGCTGCCATCTGCACCGTTTCCAGCTGCTTGACGGCCTTTTCGTTACCTTCCCATATCTCTCCTGCATACTCTAGCTTAGGTACAATCACCTTCAAGAGAATACACCTCTTAATCCTAGTGTCTAGGTGTGGGTCCGTAAGGATCTCATCCATCTTGCCTATCTGAGCTTTACCCTTCCCAATCAACTTCGCTATGTGTGCGTCCCATGAGCACTCCTTCGAAATCTCTACTCCCAGGTACGTATACTTGTCTACTACCGGTAGTTCTTCCTCCCCCCATTTCCATTTGAATTCTACGGGATTTTTCTTGTCTTCGTTACAGACCACTACTGCGCATTTTCCTACGTTCGCCGACAGTCTCCATTTTCGGGTGTATCCTACCGCCGCATCTATTTGTTCTTGCAACCCTTCTGGTGTTTCGGATACCCCCACGAAATCATCTGCAAACATCAGTCCGGACACACTCTTTCCCTCTACTTGGACTCCCTGTCTTACTGCTTCAACCGCCCTTATCAAATCGTTGATGTAAATCTTAAAAAAGAGTGGGTGACATCGTACAGCCCTGTGCGACTCCTTGGAGTATATCCACGTACTTCGAAATTTCCCCATCCAACATCACCGCACTTCTTGTGCATTCTGTCATCTTTTTCAACATCCTCCACATTTTCCCCCGGATGCCGATGTCCCACATCTTTTTCCACAATCCATTGCGCCATACGGTGTCGTAGGCTTTTTGTATATCGAGGAAGAAACAGTATGTCGTACGCCCGGCGTCTTTCCTACCTTGGATGATTTTACTCAACGTATATACATGGTCTACACAACTACGATCTGGTCTAAATCCAGCTTGTCCTTCGCTGATCTTTTGTTTCCCCTCCAACATGTCTCCCATTCTATTGTCTATCATCTTGCCAAACAGTTTCCCCACTGTGCTCAACAGGGTTATCCCTCTATAATTCCCCGGGTCAGCTTTATCCCCCTTTTTGAACAGGTTCACGACTACTCCTTCTCTCCATCTCTTCGGCGCGTACTCGTGTTTCCATATCCAGTTGAATATCCGGACCAACATGTTAATCATCCCCTCCCCCCCCCTGTTTCAAAAGCTCGTTCACAATTCCATCAGCCCCTGCCGCTTTTCTATTCTTGAGTTTCGCTACGCAGTCCTCTACCTCTTCTCGTGTGAACTCTCCCTGCAACCCGTCTACATCACTACGTTCCCTCTGAGATCTTTCAACGTTTTCCTCTGCCCACGAGTTGATTTCCTTCTCAAACTCCGAGTCGAAGTTGTCGTTGGTGGTGGGTGTCCCAAGTTTGCGGTAGTGCTCTACTAGTACTTCCCTCTTTCCTTTAGAACTGCTTACCATCTTACCCTCGGCAGATCTTAGTGTCGTTATTTCCGTGTCTCCCCTTCTTTTGTTGCCCACTATCCCTTGAATTCCTACCCACATTTGCTTCATCCCCCCCTCAAAATCTTCGTTAGTCTTTTGGACTACTTACTCCCACAACCCTTTCTTCTTCTTCACGACCAACTCCTTCACCCTCTTTCTACTTTCAACATACTCCTTCCATCCTGCATCTGTTTTCCCTGCCGCATATTTTGCGTGTGACTCTCTACGTACTCGAATTGCTTGCTTGATTTCTTCGTCCCACCACTTCACTGCTCTCTTACAAACTATCAACTTTCTACCTAGAACTCTGCTTGCTGTTGTGTTTACCAGCTCTTCCCACCCTTCTATGATTCTAGACCCGGCCTGGTCCCGGCCTTCGGCATCCTTCGGTGTACCCATTGCCTCCATCAACTCCGAGAGTTTCTTGTCGTTTATAGCCATCTCTGCTTGGAACTCTACCCTCGTTTCTTCTACTTCTAGCTTATCTATTCTCCATCTGTACATTTTCCTGCGTCGCCTACTCTGTATGACTCTCTTCTGTTGTAGGGCTGTCCACACCAACGCGTGGTCTGTAGTGCCTACATCCGTTGTGCATACTCGTACTTCCGTCTCTTTCCCCCCATTCTCTACGACTATATAGTCAAGGATGGATCGTTCTCCTTTTTTGAAACATTGCCTAGTCCATTCCGGTTCTGTCTTTCGTACTCTACCGTTCAACACCTTCATCTCGCTACTGTCAAGGAACCTCAGCATTTCTTCCCCGTTTTTGTTCGTGGCTCCCTCCCCGTATTGCCCTATGGTTCCGTGTGGGTTCGTGGTTCGCCCGATTCTTGAATTGTAGTCGTTAGACCATTGACCTCGCATCCCTACAAAGCCGGGACGGTGCACGCCGGGTTCTCACCGGACAAGGGGGAAAGGGGGGGGGGGGGGGGGGGGAATAATAATTATGAAAGCTGTAATCCTTTGA